GAAACTCAGATCCTGTATAGGCTGGAACACTGTGTGGTAGGAGAAGTAGTAAAACAAGGACATTAAAAAGAGTAAAAAGTGAAAACAGAACAATTGAGGGGAAGAAAGTCAAAAACTTGACTACAACAACATAGTTTCCCCTGTGAAAACTCCTGAGGTAGGCACATACGTAGTCCACTCCCAATAACAGATGAGGAGGTGTCAATTCCAGGAGAGGAAAATTGTTATTGGGAGTGGACTACATCCACCCTGATTGAATTGGCCCTGTCAACACTGGTTCTCCACTTGCGAAGTAACTCCCTTCTCTCTATGTGTCAGCATATAATGTCTGCATCTGTAACTTTCACTCTATGCATCTGAAGAAGTGAGGTTGTTACCCACGAAAGCTTATGCCCAAATAAATCTGTTAGTCTTTAAGGTGCCACCAGACTCCTTGTTGTTTTTGTAGATACAGACTAACACGGCTACCCCCTGATACTTGACAGCTGCTAGGTTAACTGGATTCTGATTTCCTATAACAGATGTATTGTTTCAATCAGAAATCAACTTACCCATAAGTACAGTATATTCTTATAGAAATGTGCAAGTCTAGTGTATAAAGTACTTCTAGGATACAGCTGACTAACGCAGTCTTTTGATATTTTTAAAGTGAATAATAACCAAATAGCCAGCTACTTAATTAGCAGTCAGATTTAATTTAGCATACCTTAGTTTCGCAGACTACTTTTTGTAAACTGAGCAATTTCTTTTAGTAATCAATGAAGTTGTAACTAATTTTTGCCTCTTAGTCTTCCTTTAATGAAAAAATCTCTCTTCAAATTAAGATACAGTAAATTTTGTAATCTCCTTTGTATTGTCGTAATGTTTAAGTTACTATTATTTCTTTTCAAATTCCATTCTCTGAATAGGTCTTCATTGTTGAGAAATACCCATGGATATTTAGAATGGTGGATTTAAAAACTCAAAAATTTGAGTTTATGTAAATTTAAACTAAACAGGAAGAAATTTGAGGAAAAGGGGCAAGTTGAAAATGCTTAGCACCTTGGGATCAGACTTGTTTTAAAAAAAAAAAATCTACTACATATGTTAGTAGTGAGATGCTGTTAACTTCTAGGGTTTATATTTAAAGGTAAAGTGAGACTTAGCTCACAAGTTCAGGGATTCTTAATTAGTAAAGTTAGTACTGAAATGTGACATGGAAGAAAGACCCCTTACACTCAAAAAACTAGGTTGGTCTGAGATCATATATTTAACAGCCTTTATTGTTGGTGGATGAAGCAGGTCTCCTAAAGCATTTTTCATCCCACGAATGTGCACTTCTCATCCGTTATCCACATCTACTGATTTCCTGGCCATTGTCAGAGGAGTGGGGATAAGATATGGAAGAGAGGAGACAATGATGTGAAAAAACATTAAATGGCTCACTCTTTACCAGTTAAGACAGGTGTGATGCATTTTGTAGCTGTCTAACTGAAGGGGAATTCTTCCACGTGTCATAAAGAGGATTCACACGAGGAGTACAAGTAAAATGGGATTTTCTGTAGGCTGGTTAATACACACCATCCCTAAACGCTCTACAAAATGAAAATTTGTCTCCCTAGTTTTTCATTGTTCAAAAATTTTAGGTAAGTGAGAAAATGGATTTTAATTTGAGATAAAGTCTGAGATGGAGAGAAAGGAAGGGCATTTCAGGTGGCAGGAACTCCTTATGTAGGCTCTCTCCTGAAGGGAACAAACCTATTGAAAGCAACAAATGATAGTGTGCACACTTATTTAGAAGCCTCCATTTTTAACTGTATATAGTATTTTTTTTTTAAAAGATTACTGATAGCCCAGTAGTGGGTGCTCTTCGTCCGAGGAATGCTCAGCTCGACTGCTCCAAGCTAGAGATGCTGGGAATAGGACAACGAACTCCGTTTCGAGTTGGGATCAGAGAATCACTTTGGCCTTTCCTTGTTGACAAGAGATGGAGACAGACTGTCTTCCATTAATTTGTAAACTTTTTAATGAAAGTATGGTATGTGGCACTTTTTTAAAAAAGGAAAAAATAGTTTTGTATGAGTGTTCTTAAAAATTGTGACACTTATGAGCTTTCATTGAATCAGGTAAAAATATGGTCTTGCACTAGTGAAATTGTTAGCCTAAAAAGCTCAGTGGCAAAAAATGAACCTTGTTTAAAGTGTTTTGTTTTTCCTTCTATTTGTACTGGTCTAACCTAATATCTGATCCTAGTGAATTATGGTTCTTAGTCTTCAGTAACGTTTGATGCTAAGTATGAAACAGGTCAGCTGGAGACTTCCTTTTGGCTGGAATATACTGTTGATGCTTAGGGTCTTTGCTATATGTACAGTATCTCCTTTGAAGGACCTGGCCAGTTTCTTTATCACCAAAAAAGATTCCACTTTTTTAATTTTAAAGTTATTGTACTAATGTGGTTTAAAGCGAGAATCATTGAGGTTTAATATTCATTTGCTTTGAGCTTGGATCAAAATGTTTAAAAGAATGTGAAACTTTATTTTTGCAATTACTGAGTGTAGTTTTTATGCTTGAGATATATTTTCACAATGTTCTATATCTTGGAACTCCTGCAGCTTCATATATTTGTTCATTGTATGCATTTGTCTCTTTTTAAAGATGACCTGCCAAGTGTAGGGGAGGGGAAGAAGAGAGGGAAATGGGCTTGGGCCCTCCTTTGCTTTGTGTAAAGGCTTGAAGTGTATATTCATTTTCCTGTTTGTTATACTAGAAACTCAGATCCTGTATAGGCTGGAACACTGTGTGGTAGGAGAAGTAGTAAAACAAGGACATTAAAAAGAGTAAAAGTGAAAACAGAACAATTGAGGGGAAGAAAGTCAAAAACTTGACTACAACAACATAGTTTCCCCTGTGAAAACTCCTGAGGTAGGCACATACACTGATGTGGAACTTAACACTTATTTGAATTCAGTGCCCAGTTAACATTTCCAAGAATGATGTATACTAATGTCCTTGTTTAAAGATTCAAACTACCAGTAAGATCTTGATGTTTACAATATGCCTGTTCTGAGATCTTCCAGGGAGACCACAGAAAACTGGATTTGATATTCTAGATTTGAGGCAAAAATAAATAGAAAAAACCTGGAAACCCTTCAGGCCTTTATGGATCAAAAAGGCGGAAGATCACCAGTTTTAAAAATCTTTTACAGGCCAACTTTAAAATCAGTTCCTCTTATTTCTTCTCTGATGTGAGTTAAGAGTTTATAATAAACTTGTTTGTTTTAGTCTGAAGTCCTGATATGTATACAGTAAGTTATATCTTGAAAATGACAATAAATATATGTTGCTGGCATCAGCGTCAGTGGTTGATTCAAGAATTTTTTCTAAATCTTAATTAGTTACAACCCGCTTCACAATGTTCATATGCCCTGGAGGAAATAATGGTAAAATCATGTTGATGCACTTCAAGTAAATTTAACTCCCTAGTCATAGGCTAGAGAAATGTTTCTCAACTGATGGGCTACAGTCCCCAAGGGAGGGGTGGAGTGCTAAGTTTCCTGCAAGCTGGACAGCTGTGTAACAGCCTTTTTAGTGCCGCTCAGGGAACCACCCGGCCCCAGCCTAGCCTGGCCCCCAAGCTGCTGGGGTGGCTCAGACCCAGCCGCGGTGCCCCTCCCTTGGGCCAGACTGGCTGGGAGAGGGGCGCCTGTTCTGTAGCAACTGCTGCGGCGGGGAGAGGTGCCTTTCTCCCTCAGCCCACGTGCTGCTGTGGGAGGAGAGAGCTTGGGGAAATCCTCTCTTCCCACCGTAGCCCCAGAGCACCCTCCTGCACTCCAAACTGCTTATCCCTGGCCCCTTTTTAGAGCCCGCCCCTCCAGCCGGAGCCCTTACCCCCTTCACCCTCATGGTCCAGCAAGAGCACCCACTTTATGTCCCAGCTCCTCAGTCATCACCGCTCTTGGGCTGAGACCTATATCTGCATCTACACTTTGCTTTCTCTTTAGAGGCTATAAACAGCATAATTGTCCACAGTTATAAGTTACCACATAGCTTTTTCTAAGCAAGCATATTTACTATTAAGGTGAAAGCCTTAAGTAGACAATATTAAAACAATAAAAGAACCTACAGAGATCACACCTCCAGCAAGGGTTCTGGGAGGTGAGTCCTTCAATTCCACGGGGGCATTTTTCTGTGGTTATGAGTTCATAACAGCTGTTAGCTCAGAACAAGCACTCATCCTGCGCAGATCTGTCTGTTTTTTTTCTACTGCTTGGGCCTCTGAGCTTGTCCTCCTGCAACAGGTGATCAGACATTGGTTCTCTTTTTAGGGTGTAATTTCAAAAGGCTTTTTTTTTTTTGGCCATTTATCTAGAGACTTACTAGGAAACCCACTTAATTTTGTGTCCAAAAGTTTCTTTCATGTCTGAGACATTATTTAAATAGTTCTTTGAAGCTCAGAACACTTCCAGGGGTTTACCTTGGTCATGTTTCCTTTTTAGAGAAGTTACATATACCTCCACAATAATACATAAACTGTGCATTGTTAATAGAATGGACTCCACTGCTACTAAACTTTAATGCAGTAAGGTTTTTCAAGGGTACTGCAGGATGTTGCAGTATTCGTCAGAGGATTCTGAAAGGCAATAAGAGGCTTATGAAGCTTTGAAAATTTTACTACAATCCAGTGCAAAGATTGTCACTCCTTGTATATTCTTACCCTTCAGTCAAGCATTTTGTCAGCCTGTGATGGGGCGGCTGCCCCTGCCTGGCAGAAAAGGGGTTAAAAGCAGCTTTAGGGAGGCTGCGCTGGAAGCAACCAATTTGAAAGGGGCTGAGAGGAATAGCCAATCGTGGCCTGGCATGCTAATACAAGAAGGGCTGCAGGGCAGAGCAAAGTTCAGTAACTGACTGGAGGTTGAGGGGAGAAGACCAGGCTCCTAGCAGAAGGAAGGTGTGCCTGCACCCTGGGCAGAGCAGTGTTGCCAGCAAGGACCAGGGGAGCAAGAGAGAGAGCTCCTGGCTGAAGTCTTGAGGTAAGGGCGAAGAGGTGCTGGGGGCCACAGGAAGTGGCCCAGGGAAAAATATGGAAAGGTTTTAGGGCACACAGCACATGGTTGCCATCTACAGGATCCCTGGGTTGGGACCTGGATTAGTGGGCCGGCCCCCACTTGCTGTGATTGCCACTAAGGGTATGGCTACACTTGCAGATGTACAGCACTGTGAGTTAAACCTTCCTTCGTACAGCTGAGTAGGGAAAGCACTGCAGTCTGTCCACACTGACAGCTGACAGCACACTGTCCTGGCCACATTTGCGGCACTTGCAGCAGCATTGGGAGCGGTGCATTATGGGCAGCTATCCACAGAGCACCTCTTCCCATTCTGGCGTGGGTTGTGGGAAGGAGGCGGGGGGTGCGGGGCATTCTGGGTCCTGTCCCAGCGCCCCATGATACATCGCTTCGCATCCCAGCAATCACTGTGTTTCCATCCATATTTGGCGCCATCTTTCAACGCTATCTTTCAACAGTTTCTGTGCAGCGCGATCTGTGTTCCGTTTTGATCTGTGGGAAATGGAGCCCGAATTACTGAGGAGTATGCTGATGAGTCTCGCCAGCACATCACGTTTGGCAGTCGAGCTATTCCTTAAGATCCAAAGTGACAGTGAGGAGTCTAACAATGATATCGAGTCGCATAATGTGTACAACACGAAATTGCTTGTGGCATTCACGGATATGCTCAGCACCGTGGAACGCCGCAATATGCAATAATAAAGAATGTTTTCAAAGCCAAAAAATCCATTCATTGAAAAGAAACACAACTGTTTGGGAATCAGAAAGGGCAAGGGGGTGGGGTGGGGAACGGTACAATCACAGATTTGCGTATGTCCTGGCTGGAGTGCTGTGTAATGAGTGCTGCACTTCAAGATGGCTATACTGCATGGTGATGGGGGTTGAGTGCAGAAGGTAAGGGTTGTAGTTTTCAGGGCTGGGTGGTGAAGATACAGGTGTTGGAGGCAGCTGGGGCGGTAAGACCCTGGATGTTGGGGAAAGTGGGTTGGAAGTGATATGGGGGCACAAGGGAAAGAGTTTTGGGACAAGAGCCGCGGGGGGGTGTGGGGCGGGCGCGGTAGTGCTCCACCTGCATGGCGGCAAGCGCCTGGATAGAGTCTGCTTGGCGCTCCATGATGCTTATCAGTCGATCCGTGCTTTGCTGCAGGTGCTCCATTCTTCGCTGCTGGTGCGCTGCATTTTCCTGGCGGATCCTGCTTTCGTTCTCCCTCCACTCCTGCGCTTTTTGATTCTCTTTAAGAGATTGATGCATCACTTCTTGCAGCATGTCGTCTTTGCTTTTTCGCGGTCTCTTCCTGAGTTTTTGCAGTCTCTCAACCGCTGATAACACGGACGGCTGAGATCTCAAGGTTGCATCTGTAAAGGCAAAATGCAACACTTAACAGAGGCAGCATTGTTTATACCAGACAGAGTAATGATTCCCCCTCACTTAAGGAGGGCGCACACAGTCTACATAATAGCATAATTTTCCCTTCCCAAAGAGAGCGCACATAACTCTCGGGAACCCCAAAATGGTGAGTAAGGCGGACTGATTGTTTCGCTGCTGTACTGCCCTCTGGGTTTCTGTGCCTTAGGGAGAGCCAACAACTGCAGTGGGCACCTACACTGAACACTGTCCCAACATTTTCCACAGTTTGTCCTAGAAGATATTTCGCTGCTCAGGGTGACCTGGGAAGCAAGGGAGGGTCTTCTACTGCAATGCGGCTTCCTCCCTGGCCCATATACAGCTTGCCTGTGTGCAGCAATGGTCCCCTCGCGGCACAGTGGCCTGGACACGTTAGCCTGACTGGGACAAAGACCACGGTGGCTCTCCCAAGAAATCTGCGCAAGCGCATTGCCCACGTTCTGGATGAGACTTTCGAAGAGATTACCGAGGCCGATTACCGCGATGTGATAGACCACATCAATGCGCTATTCCTCCTCTAGGCATTCAGGAGCCCTAATCCTCCTCTCCCAAAGAGCCCGCACCAAAAAAAAAAGACCGCTTACCAGGAACCTGCTCTTCTGCTTGTCCTCCACCAAGTACTGGTCGCTGTGACTGGCTACCTTCCTCCTGGCTCGAGAAGAGCTCTTGGCTGCATGCCTCCAGGGATTCCGGGGTGTCTCCTCCCTGCCCCAGCACCCTCACTCCCGCTTTCCTCCTCCTCCCTCCACTCTGAAGTGTCCATGGTGGTGCTCAGAGTGGAGGTGGGGTCACCCCCAAGTATCGCGTCCAGCTCTTTGTAGAATTGGCAGGTCACGGGGGGAGCACCCAATCGGCCGTTTGCCTCGAGGGCTTTGCGGTAGGCACTCCGCAGCTCCTTCACTTTAATCCTGCACTGCAGTGCGTTCCGATCATGGCCCTTGATATCTGCCCAAAGGTATCGTAATTCCTACGGCTGAATCTCAGCTGGGACTGGACAGCTTCCTCCCCCCAAACACTGATGAAGTCCAGCAACTCGCTATTGCCCCATACGGGGGCTCACTTGGCGCGAGGAGACATGCACCTGGAAAGATTCGCTGATAGCACTCCACGCCTGGCTGAGCAAACAGGAAGGGGATTTTTAAAATTCCCGGGGAATATAAAGGGCGGGTCTGATGGTTGGTCACCTGAGGCCAGGGCAGTAGAGTTCGAACTGACCAGAGTGGCTAGAACAGGTATTGTGGGATACTGCTGAATACTTCTGGAGGCTAATCAGAGCGCATTAGGTGGCCACACTGGTGCCGCAGCAGCGGCAGCGCAATGCTCTTTATTCCTCTCGGGGAGGTGGAGCCATGGAGATACAGCGCTGTACGTGCCTTGCCAGTGTGGAGGGGGAGTGAGGTACAGCGCTGTGGGTGGCTTTATTGTGCTGTAACTTGCAAATGTAGCCAAGGTCTGAAGGAAGTGGCTGGACAATGGACTGTAGTTCCCCCGGAAATGCGGAGAACCAAGTGTCTCTGTGTCCTGACGAGGACGCCGCAGTCCTTGGGATGACTCGGATCCAGGAGCAGAGGTGCTGGCGTACGAGACACCACCTGAAGAAGGTGCAGAGCTAATTCCCAAGATAACACTGCAGTACCTCCTACTGGCTGAGTCCCACCCCATCACACCGCCTCTTGAAATATTTTTACTTATGCTTTAATAGTACACGCAAGAAGATGGTGGACTCACTGCCCTGAAAAGGTTCAGAAACACTGGATAAGCTATAGGGTTACTTTTCAAGCCTGTACGTTATCTCAACATTGGGGCGGAAGGTCAGTTCTTGTTTGATAAAGTAACCTCAAATCGTCCACATATGGATTTTTTATTTCCATACATGTATAC